TTTCTAGAAATCAGGGCAAGAACCCCTGGGCCACCTCTCTTGTCTCTAGGATCTTAATTTTGCCTCTGGTTCTGCTCAGGACTCGCTGCCTGGTCCAAGTGCTCAGCTTGTCTCAGACCACCCAGTGACTCCAATCTGCCCTCTTCCCTTCTGGAATTCTCTCAGTCCCATTGCTCCTGTGGAGCCCGGTTATGTAATGGCATCTCCTCCCGTAAGCCTGGCCTACAGAGACAGCCACAGCTGAGCCTCTCATTAATGCTAATGCTCCAACACCAGCATAGTTCTTATTTCCCTGGTAATTGGAGTATCCTCCAGGGCATCCCAAGGATAATAATCACTTGGTGTGTTTTCAGGTAAAATATGCTAGCTCCACTCTAGCATACTAATTTAGCAGGATTGAGTTTTCACTGAAGTTTCACTTCTCTTAGTTTAGCATGCTATTTTAGTCTGCTGAAGTGGAACCAGCATATTTTTACCTGAAAACACAATCAAATAATTTAATTTGCGTCTTCTTAAAAACAACCTTTCTTTTTTTTAGCAATTTTAGGCTCATGGCAAAATTGAGCAGGAAGTACAGAGATTTCCCACGTGCCTCTCCCCTCCCACAGGCACAGCCTCCCCCATTACCAACATCCCCCACCAGAGTGAGACGTCTACTACAGTTGGTGAATATGTTGACACGCCATGACCATCTGAAGTCCAAGTTTGCATTAGGATTCACTGTTAGTGTTGCATTGTGGGGCGGAGACCCCATAAGTGCCGAGGCAGGAGTCAGAAGCCTCAGCCTCATATAAGTAATGAAGAAGAAAACAACTAGAGATATAACTCCAGTAGTTACTCATAGGTGACCTTAGTCATTCATGGGTAGCCTTAATTCTTTTACTAATGCCTCTCAGGTCTTGAAGTGTGAACCTGGGGTGACATTGTGAAAGGAATGATTCTTTTTTTTTTTTTTGAGACGGAGTTTCACTCATGTTACCCAGGCTGGAGTGCAATGGCGCGATCTCGGCTCACCGCAACATCCGCCTCCTGGGTTCAGGCAATTCTCCTGCCTCAGCCTCCTGAGTAGCTGGGATTACAGGCACGCACCACCATGCCCAGCTAATTTTTTGTATTTTTAGTAGAGACGGGGTTTCACCATGTTGACCAGGATGGTCTCGATCTCTTGACCTCGTGATCCACCCGCCTCGGCCTCCCAAAGTGCTGGGATTACAGGTTTGAGCCACCGCGCCCGGCCTGAAAGGAATGATTCTAAGGCAAGACACTTTAAGCCTTCTGTCACCGCCGTGAAAGGGCTGTTAGAGGGCGCCTTGGCTATGCAGCAGCACCAGCACTGGGAAAGCGCCCACTGTTTAGCAAGCTGCCGAAGGAGATGTCAGAGATGTCCCCTTCTCCAGAGGAGTTAGGAGAAAACTGAACTCCCCCAAGCTCTTGCGGCGGGGCTGACGGCTGTCAGAGAGCCCCACAGACATCCGGGGGCTTAATTGTCTCTATGTGATGCTGTGCTTCAGCGGTCACGGTCCAGATCCGCGCTCATGTTCCGCTTCTGCACCTGGTTCCTTTTTTCTTAGAAGAGCTAATCAGTAAAAGTAATAATGTCTTTGTTCTTTCTTGACAAGTATGGAAAAATGCTGACTCATTGTGCTCCTTATCTCATTTCAGTTACTAGGATGTCTTGGGCCCCTACCTATATGACACACGTGATGTACTTGACCCTATCACTGACTACCAATGACATGCCCCACCTACCCTGTCCCCAGCTTTGCACCACGACCTACCTGCCCTGCCCCCTACTTTGTACTCAATAAAAGTCAGAGCGTCCAGGCACTCAGGGCCACTGCCAGACTCCACGCTTTGGTTGGCAGTGAACCCCAGGGCCCAAATTCTCTTTTCTCTGTCTCTGTGTCTTGTGTCTTTATTTCTACAGTTTCTTGTCTCCACACCAGCAGAGAGGGGCTCAAAGGACCCTGTAGGGCTGGACCCTACATTGCATATTCTGTGGGTTTGGACAAACGGATGATGACATGGATCCCCTGTGAGGGCATCATATAGAGCAGGTTCGCTGCCCTGAAGATTCTCTGTGCTTCCTTGAGCCTTCTGATCCTTTCTTCCACACCCTGCATGACATCTTTACATCATTGAATGTGGGGTTTTGTTGCTTTCAAGCTTCTCAGAGCCATCCCAGCAGAACACTAGAAGCAGTCTCCCAGCATTGCAAGTGGTGAGTCCTCCCATCTTGCATGGATGAGTACCCCTATGTTGACAAACCCTTCCTGCCTCAGCACTACAGTCCACCGACCCGGGATTCACTCTCACACACTTTCTTCTGGTTCATGCCAGCCAGTGTGTATTAGTTCTCCTTTTCCCTCAGCAGCCCAGCGTGTCCCTAGGTGGGCCAGGCTGACCCTCAACCTCAGTTACGGGTCAGGAAGAGAAGTGAGGGCAGATTCCTCAAGTAGATCCTTAGCGGGCAGCAGTGTCTGGTGAGGCATCTGCTTCATTGGAGACCTCAGCATCATCTTCAACAGGGGAGCTGTTACCTTCTAACAAGTGCGTTGGGCCGCTCTGCCGCGGGAGACTCAAGGGCTCAACTGAATCGTCAAATGTCCCATCCTCGGGTTCCTACTTTTCTCTCCCAGGAGCCTGACCTGTTGAGGCTAAGGATTGAGTTTTCACTGAAGTTTCACTTCTTTTGAACTTAGGTCTTGGCCTGTGTATTAGTCCATTTTCATGCTGCTGAAAGAGACATACCCGAGACTGGGTAATTTACCAAAAAAAAAAAAGAGGTTTAATGAACTCACAGTTCCACATGGTTGGGAAGGCCTCATGGCAGAAGGCAAAGGAGGAGCAAAGGCACATTTTAAATGGTGGTGGGCAAGAGAGCCATGTGCAGGGGAACTCCCCTTTATAAAACCATCAGATCTCATGACTTATTCACTATCACAAGAACAGCAAGTGAAAACCCCACCCCCACAATTCAATTGCTTCCCACCAGGTAATTGGATTATGGGAGCCACAATTCAAGATGAGATGATAAGATTTGTGTGGGGACACAGCCAGACCTTATCAGTCTGATCTATAGCACAATTATGCCTGCAGATAAAGGGAATGGAGGTCCCTTCAAAAGCTGTTAAGGAGGATACCAGATGCCTGACAAAGGCACCGCCTAAAATGCTCACAGCACACTATGCATCATGGTCCCAAACTTGAAACTAGCTGAATGCTCAAAAATAGTAAATTTGAAAAAATCTTAACAAAAAAAGTGTTTCAAATTGTGCACTTTAAATACATGCAGTTTATCTCAATTATACCTCAATCAAACTAGGAAGGAAGGAAGAAAGGAAGGAAGGAAGGAAGGAAAGAAGGAAGGAAGGAAGTCAGTCTATGCTCCCTGAAGTCCTGCCCCCACCCATGAGTTCCTGACTGTAGGCAGAAGCACCAGGGCTCATTGAGACACTCCGAGATCCCAAGAGAAGGTGCAGCATTCAAACATAAACAGAAGGCCTAGATTACGCCTGTAATCCCAGCACTTTGGGAGGCCAAGGTGGGCAGATCACTTGAGCCCAGGAGTTCAAGACCAGCCTGGCCAACATGGCAAAACTCCATCTCTACTAAACATACAAAAATTAGCCTGGCATGCTAGCGCATGCTTATAGTCCCAGCTACTCAGGAGGCTGAGACAAGAGAATTGCTTGAACCCAGGAGGCGGAGGTTGCAGTGAGCCGAGATTACGCAACTGCACTCCAGTCTGGGTGACTGGAGTATAAATAAATAAATAAACAATATATAAATAAACAAACAAACATAAACAGAGGCTGCTCAGGAGCCTCCTCCAGCACTTCCTCTCCCAGAACTGACCCACCACACCCTCCCCTGTTCCCACTGGCAAAGCCCTCTGCTACTCTGTCTCTAATCTGCCACCCCTGCAAGGCCCTTTGCAAGTGAAGATATGATGGGCTTTCTTGCAGGAAGGCTAAACTGACAGCGCATTGGTTGGGGGGGATGGAGCAGGGAGTCAGGAGGCCCCAGACCCATGGACCAGGCACACCGACAGACTAATTTTAGAGTGAAAATGACAAGGAATTTAATTTTGAGCACATCTGAGCTGTTAATAGGGTGGATATCTCTAGGAAACATCCAGTAGGCACCTGGAATGAGAGCCGAGCACTGAGGCAGGAAATCAGGTGGCAAACTGCTTTTGACAGTCCTGTGCATGGAAGGGACTTTACAGTGCAGGTGAGGACACTCCCTGGAGAGAAAGGCCCCAGAGGAGAGCATCAGGACAGGCTCCAGGAGATGCAGTCTGGTGGGGGCAGGAATGGCAGTGAGAGCAAGGAGGGGCTTCAGCAAAGAAAAAACAGGAGAGGGAGAGGGAACAGGTGACAGAGGAGGGAGGGGACCGTCTGAAGGAAGAGGGGAGAGTCTGGGAAAGTCACTTTGGAGATCAGTAGAGTAAGCAGTTTTGGTGCAGTGAGGCTGGCCAACAGCCAATCGCAGGGAAAATGTGCAGAGATGGGGAGGAAGCAGCCAGAGTGAAGTGGGGCTAGAGATGAAAGGCAGCTTCCCCTTCCCCAGCTCCCCACCACAAGCCTCCACTTCGGAGTGACTCAGGACCCCAGAGGAAGCTTTCCGACGGGGGCGGGGGGCACCAAGTCAGGCTCAAGGAGAGACGACAGCCCAGGGCTGGAAGAGTGGTTTGAGATGCCCAGTGGTGGGGTCACCTGGAAAGAGCCTGGGGCACAGGCTGTTTCTCCAGCAAGGCTGGGTGGGAGTGGGGAGCACTGTGCTCTGTGTCCTCCTCAGGTGCAAAGCCAGCGTGCCGTCAATCCCTTCCATCCACGCTCTGAGCCTCGCCACACTCCCTGCCCTGCATTGCTGGCAGAGGCTCCTAAATCACTGACAGCTGCAGGTGGAACCCATGCCAGGCCTGACCCTTTGCTTCCCTAGTTCACTGAAGATATGTCGTCATACCACACACACTCCCAAATGACAACACTGCGTTTCTCCTAATTCATGAATTTAGGAAGTAACTAGGGAAGAAAAAAAAGGAAGCAGTTGAGAAAGCTGAAAAATAATGATTTAGACAAATAGAAAGCAGTTTGCCTCTGGGCTCCTCACAGGTTGCTAGAGGGCAGCTGGTATTTGCTGATCTCCAGGAAGAGAGCACAGGTGGGCAGGAGCATGTGGCACCCACCGGCTCTGCTCCTTCTCATCCTCCCAGGTAAGTGGGGTTGGGGCTTGAGGAACTGGAACCCAAAAGGCTGAGCAGGAAACAGAGAGGGTCTGTGCTGGAGGGAAGGAGACAAGTTGGGGAGAATGCACTCATCCATGCACTTACGCATTAGAAAGAACAAAGGAAGGAAAAAAGGAAGGAATGTTTCATTATCTGACTGTTACTAAGTAGGTGTTGGGGATTCTGATTCTCCTCAACCCTGGCAGATGATTGATAGTTAGATAGATAGATAGATAGATAGATAGATAGATAGATAGATAGATAATAGATTATAGATAGACAGAAAAATAGATGATTGACAAACAGATGATTAATAGACAGATGATAGATAGATAGACAGATGATAGATAAGAGATAAGTAGACAGATGGATAATAGATGAGAGACAGATAGATGGATAGACGGGTGGACGGATGGATGAAAGGACAGGTAAATAAGTAGTTACATACATACATGCTTATACACACACTTAAATGCATGAATCCCTGAGGAACTTTAAAGGAGCACAGACACTCAGGTTCCAACTCAGACCCACTCAGTCCTGGCGTGGTCCAGACATCTGGGAGTTTAGAAGCCTCCACAGCTGGTCTTGACTTGTAACTGAAATGGAGCAGCTCAGAGTTACAGGGAGGAAGACAGGCAATGAGGCAAGGATGCAATCGCTCTCTGGAATGTAAGTCAACCCCAATAAGGGTTTGAGTCCATCAAGCAAGAAAGAGAAAACTTTCTGGGCAAAGGGAGCAGCTTGTGCAAAGGTATGGAGATAAAAATAGCATGGTCCTTAGGCAAAGAAAATCAACTGTGCACTCAGGTGTGTACACGAGTGTGTGACTGTTGGGTGTGGGGGGGTAGGTGTGTTTGGTTTCATGAAACTTTATTACATGTGCAGACTCACGTGGGAGGGATTTTAGGGGTGTGGGGTGCTGTGCCAGGGGGGAGAGGAGCTGGAGGAAGCCAGGATGTCTACCTGCTCAGCTCTAGGATTTTAAAATAAATCAATGGCTGGCTGGGCTTGGTGGCTCACACCTATAATCCCAGCACTTTGGGAGGCCAAGGTGGGCGGATCACTTGAGGTCAGGAGTTCGAGACCAGCCCTCCCAGTGTGGTGAAACTCTGTCTCTACTAATACAAAAATTAGCTGGGCGTGGTGGCACATACCTGTAGTCCCAGCTACTTGGAAGGCTGAGGCATAAGAATCGCTTGAACCCAGCAGGTGGAGGTTGCAGTGAGTTGAGATGTCACCACTGTACTCCAGCATGGGAGCATGGGGTACAGAAGATCCAGCGGCGTCCAGCCTGGGCGACAGAGAGAGACTCTGTCTCAAAACATAAGTAAATAAATAAATAAAATAGACTGGTGGCTGCAGTGAGAGCTAGGGATTGCTGGGGAAGTGGGTATTACTTCAGGGCAAAGGAGGGAAGGTTTCCAAAAGGAGAGGGTGGTTGCCAGGATGAAGGGTGAACAGACCACTGCGCTGGGCAGGGAGCCCTCAGGAGAACCTTGTCAGAGGGGTGACAACAAAAGACATACCACCGGGAATGAAGGAACAAATGGATGTGAGAATTCGAGAATTTGGGAGCTGAGGGCAAAGGCTCCTGGTCAGTCCCCAGTGAGGTGCCGGAAGTCCTGGGCAGTGCCAGGGAGGAAAGAGCTGAACATTGTGTTCTGCCTTCCAGGGTGTTTCTCCATCTATGGTCCTGGCGCTGTGTGGGGCACAGAATGGGACTCACTGACAGTGCAGTGTCATTATGACCAAGGCTGGGAAACCTACAGCAAGTGGTGGTGCCGTGGAAGTGGCTGGAAGTCCTGCGAAATCCTCGTTATAACTACGGGATCAGAGCACACAGTAGAGAGAGACCGAGTGTCCATCAGGGACGATCAGAAAAACCGTGTGTTCACCATAACCATGAAGATACTCTGGAGGTCGGACACTGACACCTACTGGTGTGGCATCGAGAGGACGGGCACTGACCTTGGGGTCCAAGTTGAAGTGACCGTTTACCCAGGTAGGAGCAGCTCCCTCCTGTACCAAGCTCTGGTGCTGACCCAAGAGGATTCAGTGATGCAGTCTTGACTTTGCTCTGGGACTACCCATGGGCGTATGCTTGGGTGTGCTTGGGTATGCCTGTGTGTGTGGGTGTGACTGTGCGTGGGGGTGCCTAGGCTTGCTTGTGTCTGTGCGTGTGCTGTGCATAGATGCATGTGTACAAATGGGCCATGTGTGTCTGTGTGTGCATGTTTGTGTGTGTGCGTGTGCACGTGTGTGTGTGTGTTGGTGGGGGTTACACCAAGGTTCTGGAAATACTGGAAGACAGAGGAAGCCCCAGCATCTCTGCACATCTCTATCTGCTGTTACCAGAGGGAGCCAAGTGGAACTGGCCTGGCTTGGGCAGGCTCAGTTCAGGGTGAGACAGAAGGCAGGTTCTCTTCTGCAAGTCACTTGGGGCAACCGTGCCCCCTCAGGGCAGCCCCAACCTGACAGGGGCACTTGTCAGGTGTACAGGGAGGGGAATGCAAGAAAGTCACAATCCCAGAGGTCTAAGCTCCAAGACAAGCATGTAGTGACCAAGAGCCTATGGTGACCCTCTCCCTGTGCCACCCCCCTCTCTTCCTCTCCCTCCTCTGGTGACATATGGGCAAAGGAGGGCACGGGAGACTGACTCATTCCTGAAAGAGAGAAACACAGAAACTGGCACAGTGCAGAGCCCTCCCACGGGTCTCCCCTGGCTGCCCTGAGCCCCTAAGGGGACTCAGAACTCAGAACTGGGGGCTCTCAGAAAGAGAGGCTGTCACCCTCATCCCATAGCCCGACCCCCACAGCCATCAGTGTCATCTCCACCATGGGCCCCAAGGAAACTCTCAGCTCCCCATACACATGCACAGATGCCCACTCAATCATGTATCTGTTATTTGTGGGTCCATTTACCAAGCAGGGAAAAGCCCTTTTCAGCTTCTTGTATGCAAATGTGGTGTGCCTATGTGCGCATGCAGTGGGGAAGTCTGCTGGTTTTAGAATGTTCCAGAAATTGACTTTAAAAGAGAACAAAGGCAGGAGGGGGTGTGGATGGGTGGAAGGAAAGGAGGAGCTGGGGGAGAGTTGAAGGCTGCAACCCTCCAAGCCTAGTGAAATAAGGAAGCTTTTGGGAGGCAGGAAAAACTCAGCCAGAAGCAGACACTCGGTCCAGCTGCAGGGGAGAGGAGCCCTGAGTCCCCAGGCAGGGTCCAGGGAGGGGCAGCCGGCTGTGAGGGTCACTTCTTCACTACACCAGCAGGCAGCAAAGAGCCTGCTTGAACCCCGGGTGAGACTCAGAGAAGAGCTGGCTGGCTCTGATGTAGGACTTCAAGGAAGCAGAGTGTGGTTCTCAATGCTCTGCTGTGCCATTCAGGACTCTGCCACTAAGTTAAAGATCTGTAAATTGCCTACACAGCTTCTCACCACAAATCCTTCACAGGTGGTGCAGTGGTGTTTCTTTGTAAATGAAATAATGTTACATTTTCGATAAGATTGCAAAAAGATACAAAATGAAACAAGTGTAGCTGACCTGTAGTGCTAAGACTAAATATTTCACAGTCCTTGGAGGAGTAGGGGATGGCATGGGCCACAGGAAAGCTACCTGGGCCGCCGTCAGAACTATCCGTTGCTCTATGTGTCCAAAACCTATGACCATAGTCACAACTGTACCTGGGACAGCAGACACAGCATCACCTGGGACAACAGACACAGCTCTACCTAGCAAAGCAGAAACAACTGTGCCTGGGAAAAGGAACACAGCTGCATCTGGGACAATGGACACAGCTGTACCTAGGAAAGCAGAAACAGCTGTGCCTGGGACAGCAGACACAGCTTCACCTGGGACAAGAAACACAGCAGAACGTAAGAGAACCACCACTCCAATAGTTCTGGCCTCCGGGGTTTCTCTCAGCCAGAACACCAACAGCAGCCAGCCCACGGCTCTTACCAGCCCCCTCGCCAGGTGAGCAGAGCTGGGCTCCCACAGACCTTTCCCTAGGCTACCCCATGACCTCTCTTCAGGGGCTCCCTCCAGGGACCCTCATGTGGCCCTGGTCAGGGGAGAAACAGTGACGTCTGTAGCGGGCCTTCCCCACCCTGTCTACACCTGAGCACTGCGGCAGATTGTCCCCGAGGAGCTGCAACAGGCTGAGCTCTGGAGAGCGGGCTCTGGGCTCCAGGCTCCGCTGAGCCCCTCAAGCCCCAGGAAGCAAAAGCGAGGTGAACCCTTGGGCGTTCTGGAAGGGTGGCTGTCTCTGTGGCTTTCCTGTGGCTGCTGTTTGATCGTTACAACGTTGGTGGCTCAAAACAGCACAATCTCATGCTTATACAGCTGTGGAGCCCAAAAGTCTGAAATGGGTCTCACTGGGCTAAAATCAAGGTGTTAACAGGGCTGGTTCCTTCTAGAGGCTTCAGGGGAGGACCTGCTTCTTTGCCTTTCCCAGCTTCTAGAGACCACCTGCATTCCTTGGCTTATGGTCCCTTCCTACCCAAAGGCAGCAAAGGTCAGTGAGTCTCCCACAGTGCATCGCTCCACTGACTCTCCTGCCTCCCTCTTTCATTGATAAGGACTCTAATGATTCCACTGGGCTCAGCCAGATGATTCAGGATAATCCAGCCTGCATCAGCTGACAAGCGGTCTCAAATCCACCCACTGCCTTAACTTCCCCTTGCATGGAGTGGAACATATTCACAGGCTCTGGGGTTAGGACGTCGTTGGTGGGCTTTACTATTCTGCCTACCACAGTCATAGGCAGGGCCACACCCATCGCTCCAACTCTCCAGCCAAGGCTAGGGAAGGGCTGGGAGGGAGAGCAGAAAGGTGGGCCCCCTGCTTCTCTTTCACATTCCCAGCATGCTGGGAGGGGTGTGGACATCAACCCGAAGCCCACCTCCCTTCGAGGGATCAATAGGATCTCTCATCACAGCACAAACACGGCTGCCCCTGTTGAACCCGCTCACAGTCTGGTCCTTCAGGGTCCCTCCAAGTCCAGGGTCAAGGCCCATTCTCTCCCTGGATCCTGCCTTCCCTGTTCCACCGACTCACTTCCCTTCTCCAGCCCAACTCCCTTCCTCTCAAAGGGTCTCATTCCCTGCCAGAACCGGGCGCATGTTCCCTAGGAGTCCGGAAGAGGCGAGGCACTAGGGATGCTTCCTGATCTGGCTGCTGTCTCGCTCCACTGTTTACAGAGCGGCTGTTCTGCTGAATGGAGAATGGCAGTGCCAGGACTTCTAGCGAGACTGGAGAGGCACAAGGGGAAACTCGGCGGGGAGAGACCAAGGATGAGGCAGCTCCACAGGGAGAGGAACTTGCAAGAAAAGCACAGTGGTTTAAAGGATATTTTTAGGATGTGCAATATGGCAGGCTTGCTCTCGCTCAAGAAAACCCTGAGTGAAATCCACATGACTCATCACTGCTTCCATGCCCTGGGCTGGAGGCCAGTTTCAGGGAGAGAACAAGGGTGGCCTTTGGGGAGGGGCCCTGGCACTGGGTGTGGGGAAGGGGATGAGGAATAGGATTGGGGATCAGACTCTAACACACTGATGGGGACTCCCCAGAACCCACTAGTTTATCTAGACCAAGTATGAAACATGTGGGTGATAGGAGGCAGCAGGCCTCAGGTCTGCTGTCATAAAGTGGGTCCGAGCAGGGAGAGACCCCTCCCAGGAGAACCAAGTAGATGAACAGCCAGGTTGACAGAACTGGGGGAATCTTCCTCTGCTTCAAAGAGGTAATAATAATTAGATTTGAGCTTGAAAGATGGGCAGAAGTGACAAAGGGAGATACCAGGCAGAGAGAGGAGCAGAAGCAGGAAGACAGGACACAGCAGACCCTCGGGCTTGGCAGACACAGGTGAGTGGCAGGGACTGTGGGAGAGATCAGCCAAAGGCAGGCCTGGCCGGGCACAGTGGCTCACACCTGTCAACTCAGCACTTTGGGAGGCTGAAGCGGGAGGATGGCTTGAGCTCAGGAGTTCAAGACCAACCTGGGGTATATAGTGAGACTCCATCTCTGCAAATAAATCAATAAATTTAAAGTCAGGGCAGTCACAGCCAAGGACAGCGAAGGGGCAGGGCCCCAGACTCAGCCTGTGGGGAGGCTACTGGAGGCTCAGCCTCTGGGTGGCATGACCTTGCCCCTTGCACAGGGCTTCTCTGGCTGTGGACCAGGCAGCTGACCAGGGTTAGCGTTAGGGTTAGGGTTAGGGTTAGGGTTAGGGTTAGGGTTAGGGCTAGGGTTAGGGCTAGGGTTAGGTTTAGGGCTAGGGTTAGGTTTACAGTTGGCCGCAGGTGTTGGCTCGGGGGAGAGGCGGCTCACTCTTGGCATCTTGACCTCTTTGTCTAGGATCCTGCTCTGCAACATCCACTTCCTGCTCCCAACCTCCCTGAAGGGGCTGCTGCTCGTGGGCCTGCTCTGCACTGTGCTGCGAGTAAGCAGTGCTAAGGGGGCCTCCAGCGGGAAATAAAGTCACCATCTGAGCCAAGGAACCGCATCTCTCACACCACCGACACCCTCGGAGGGGACAGCAGAGCCTCCTGGCCTCCTATCAGGTAATGAGCAGTAATTGCAATTCCCCAGGAGACAAGGGTCCCTGCAGAGATGAAGCATCCCTCATCCTGGCCTCAGGAATGTAATCCCACTCTCTGCCAGCTCTGCTCAGCACAGGGACGCTGACGGGGCTCCTCTGCCTTCTGCCACCTCTGCCTGAGGAGCAGATAAAAGAAAGGACATCTCCCTTGCATGCTGATTCCTTGGAGGTACCTGCATCTCACCTGCATGGATCCTCCCTCAGGCCTCCTTTCCTTGTTGCCCTGGGATGACCCTGTCAGAGAAAATGGACTATCATTCAGCTGCAGAGGCCCCAGGGCCTGTCTGGCCTTTGTATCCCAAGAGGGGCTCAACTCTGTCCTCTTTGTGCCTGTGACACTCTCCGCCCCCCCACCCAGCTCAGAGCCAGCATGACCACCATCGTCCACTCCTGATTCAACCCAACCTTGGCCCTTTCCACCTCTCTAGCTGTGAATAGCAAATGCAGGATGCTCCGCCCTCATGTTTCACTCCCCCCAATTCACTTGTAATTAAATAACCACACATCTCTTTCTCATTTTCAAAGGTATATATGTTTCCTCTCAATAAAGTTGTTATGATTATTATTCTCTTCCACTTATGTTCTTCCGGAGCTCTGTCTGCTCATTTTTTCCTCCCTATTTTACTTTGAATCATTTTTTCGAATTACTATATTTCTTTTCTTAGCTCCTTTTTTGGAGAGACCTTGTTGTCTGTAGTTTCTCTGCAATGGAGGAGAATTTTCTGTCTGAACTATTCCTCTATTGCCTTGAGCACTTCCTCTCCTGAGATGGGTTCTTCAACTGCCACTTGCTGGTGTTCATTTCTTCTCGTTGATCTCATCAGATGTGAACAGCTGCTGGTTTGCTCTATAACTCTTCTTTGAATGAGGTTGAAGATTTGCCAAGAGTAGCATGAGGAGCCGTTGGGGGCAGAGCATGGAGGTCAGAGCATGGAGAATGGAGTGTGGAGGGCAGAGCATGGAGGGCAGAGCGTGGAGGGCAGAGCTGCTGAGGGCAGAGCCGTGAAGGACTGCTGACACACAGAAAGTTTGCCTTCAGTAACACTCACCACTTGCCACATCTTGAGTGCCTATGTCCATATGGTTCACGTGTCAAGAAAGGGCAAGGCCTCAGGCTCCAGCAGCCTGCGTGCTGCTAAGCATGGGAGAACAACTGGTGTTGTGATGTGTGAACCCTGGCCACACAGGCTGGTTGCTGTTGTCATCTGGAGGCTTCTTCACCCACGAGTCTGGAGTATGGGCTGGGTGATCCAAGACAGCTCTGCTGGAATGTTGCCCAGAGACCCTACATGTGGCCTCCCTGTGACAGCTGGGTTCTAAGACAGAATATTCACAGACCTTCCAGAGGGCAAGTGTTTCAAGAGACTGAGGAGGGAGCTGCAGGGTTTCTTCTGACTTAGCCTTGGAAGTCACACAGAGGCCCTCTCACATGCACTCCCCGTGGGGGCGAATATTGGTTCTTGCAGGGTGAAAAAGTATTTTTGCTCTTTTTAGGTACAAAACACAGAGATAGATAGATAGATAGATAGATAGATAGATAGATAGATAGATAGATAGATGGATGTATAATACATCTTTGGTATTAAAATTTCATAGGAGATATTTTTAGGAATATTCCTTTTTAGGGATTTTTTTTAGGGATATTTTTTGGGATATGCATTGTTATCCTAAGATAACAATGAAAAAAGGTTGAGAAACACTGTTCTAGCCCACTGGTTGAAACAGTCACAAACCACCCAGACCCAAGGGAAGGAGACATAAGCCCCAACTCTTAATGGAAGGAGTGCCAAGAAATTTGCAGCCATGCTTTTAAACTGCCATGTGGAAGAATTGTAATTTAGTGCCTTCTTGTCACATATAAGAATAGCAGGACCTGAAGGGGTGAAGCCACCTGGTCCCCAGTCACAGGGCCAGAGAGCAGAGTTGGTTCTGCCCCTGAATGGCAGCCTGGAGCTGGCCCACACAGCGTCCCTGCAGGCCCATCTGTGCACTTTAGAAGGTCAGTTCCCAAGCCTGCTGAGGCCACCATATGGTCCCAGGCATGACAGTGAGGCTCTGAAACACCTACCCTTTCCTCAGAGGTCACAGTCCAGCAGCCATTACTTGCACAGACATGTCTTGTTTGTGTTCAGTGGGTGAAAGGTTAAGTAAATTATTGTAAACTTGTGCAACGGAATCCTACTGAGAAATAGGAAGGAATCAACTATTGATTGTGATAAGCGCAACAACTTGTATGGATCTCAAGGCTCAGTGAATAAAAGAGCCAATCTCAAAATATTACATTCTGCATAATTTCATTTGTCCTCAAAAGGACAGCACTGTAGAGATGGAGAGCAGATTAGTGGTTTCCAGGGGGCAGGAATGGGATAGGGGTGCAAATACAAGGGACGGCATGAGGGAGATCTTTGTGATGATGGAATGGTTCTGTGTTTTGGCTGGGATGGTAGTTACACAGATCTCTTAAACTGCATGGAGCTCTACACAAACACATCCATAATCCAATGTATGTTAAAAATAGTGAAAATGGAATAAAGTCTGCAGTGTAGATAACCATTGTAACTAGATTGTAACAACGCCAGTTTCCTGGTTTTGGTATTGTCCTACAGTTATGTAATATGTCACCATTGAAGGGCACTGGATGAAGGATTCACAGGACTCTGTGTATTATATTTGCAGTGTTAAGCCTATAATTATTTCAAAATAAAAGTTTCAAAAAATTTAAACCTCCAGGGGCTCCCTGTGGTCTCCTAGACACAATTAAAACTCCTTAGTCTACCTTGAAGCCCATTCATAATTAGGCTCCAGCCCCATACCTCAATCCTCTCCCACATGCACTCTGCACACATGGTAGTGTGGCTCCTGAAGGTCCTGGTATCCAGCATGCTTTATGACCCTTTCCTACCATTGCCTGGGACAATCATCCCCCAGTCTTCTGCCTTATTTTTATAAATTAAGCCCTCAATTTTCCTTCTCCACTTGGCCTCATAGGAGTGTCTCACTTCTGTGCCCCCACAGAGCACCATGCAGACCCCTGACACAGATTCTAACACACTGCATTGCTATTGTTAGTCTACATCTTAATCTTCCTTTCTAAAGCAGTAGGAACTCCGCAGAGTTTAAGTCCTTATCTGTATTGCCCAGAACAATGCACCATGGACGAACAATAAAAGTTTATCAAATGAATGAGTAAATAAATGGAAAAAGGAAAGAAAGAATAGATGAAAAAAGGGAGTAAGGAGAATGAAAAATTCTCCTGCACCTGCTGTCTACCCTTTCCTAACTCTTCCCTTCTGGCTTCTGCTCACATTGCTCTGTTGATCTGCCCTTCTGAACTTGACTAGTGATGAAAAGTTCAACAGCCTCCTGTCAACCCTGGCCCTCATTCACCTCTCTAGCTCTGCTCTCCTCCTTGAAACATTCATGGCCCTTGACTTCTCAACTTCCATTTGTTTGTTTCTGCTCCAGCACCTTGTTCAATGTCTCTTCCTCTTACCCTTTGTCTTTAAATGCAGATACCCGGATGGCTCTGTCCTTGGTCCTGAACTCTTCCCTCCGTGCTTTCACTTCTTCCTGAGGTCCAGTTAATCTCTCTACACAGGTTCCTCTCCAGCCCTCAACACTCTGCTAACCCAGATCTCTAGCTATCTGCTAGACCTCTATGCCTGACAATTCCAAACACACAGAAAACTAAGCTGTGCATCACCCAAGCTGGCTCCTGACTTTCCTACTTCTGTTAGGGATGCCCCATTCCCCTGGTTTTCCAGGCTTAAGACTCCGGACTCCCAGACTCTTCCTTTCAGACTTTGCTACACATCTGCTAAGGTAAGTCCTCCTAAAACACAACTGCAATCCCATCTTAATCTGCTCAAATCCATCCCACGGTAGCCTCATGTGGAGTCCCAGGAGGAGGAGGGGAAGGAGAAGCCTAAAGGAAGATGGCTCAGCCTGTGGCCCAGGAAGCCTCAAAGAGACCATAAGAGGGGGCTCCGAGCACCCTTCACATGGACACTCTTCTTTTGTTTTGTTTTGTTTTATATATATGTACTTTTTTATTGCATTTTAGGTTCTGGGGTACACGTAAAGAACATGCAGGATTGTTGCATAGGTACATACATGGCAATGTGGTTTGCTGCCTCCATCCCCATCACTTATATCTGGCATTTCTCCCCATGTTATCCTTTCCCAACTCCCTGCTCCCCACTGTCCCTCCCCTAATCCCCCCTGACAGACCTCAGTGTGTGATGCTCCCCTCCCTGTGTCCATGTGTTCTCATTGTTCACGTGGACACTCTTAAAGGCCACTGTAGGCCACCCCTAGGGAAGGGATAAGTTGTCACTCATCTCCTCCTAGGGACTTCGGGTGACCAGACTATTGACATGGTCTCCACCCTCATTGCCACTGGACCCCCAGCTCATAATCTCAGGTCTCAGGTCAGGTGCACCACTAAAGCAGTTGTCATGGAGGCTCAGCCCTTCACCGGGTGCCCACACAGGCTCAGTGTGATCTGACAAGCAGCCTTCGACCTATGCTGCTCGAGATTCATTTATGGACATGACGCAAGCCCCACCCTGGGAAGGGGCAGAGGCACATAAACAGATGGACTAACTTCAACTAGAAATGGCCCTGGTAAGGAGCCCTAGCAGGTGCAATGGGAGCAGGGGGAGAAGCCTGATCCATCCCCAGGCCAGCAGGAAGAAAGGAAACGTGAGTGGCACCTAGCATAGGCGAATGCCGGACCGCAGGATGCTTTTGGGAAGTAAGAGACGTGGGCGTGGTGATAGAGTCTGAGTCTGAGGACAAGAGATGGTGTGGGTAGCTAAGGGGCAGGGGGCAGGGGAATTTGGTTCAAGGGGGATGGGGAGGCAGAGAACCACAGGACAAGGAGCCAGCCCCAGGAGGACTGCCCTTGGACAGGATGGAGAAGCCTGTCAACTTGAAAGGGAAGGGAGAAGAATGAGTTTAAATTGCATGAAAGACAGACGTACAGGAGAGTAATACTGGAAACTCTGAGCTTCTACTGGCAGCCACAGGCACCGTTTTCTCACTTTTCTTTCCCAGCAGTGCTAGAGAAGGTGGATTTTAGACAGGGTGACCAACTTGTCCTAGGACTTTTCTAACCTTAGCACTGAAAATTCCACATTCAGGGAACCCCTTAGTCCTGGGCAAACTGGGATAATTAGTGACCTTAATTTTAGGATTGGCTGGGCATGATGGCTCACACCTGTAATCCCAGCATTTTGGGAGGCCAAGGCAGGTGGATCACCTGAGGTCGAGAGTTCGAGACCAGCCTGACCAACATGGAGAAAACTCATCTCTACTAAGAATACAAATTTAGCCAGGGATGGTGGCACATGCCTATAATCCCAGCTACTTGGGAGCCTGAGGCAGGAGAATCGCTTGAACCTGGGAGGCAGAGGTTGTGGTGAGCCGAGATTATGCCATCGCACTCCAGCCTGGGCAAGAAGAGTGAAACTCCATCTCAAAACAAAAAAAATTAAGATTGATCCAGGGATGAGGGTTTTGTCAAGCAGATAAGGAAATGGAATATGGAGGTTATGGGTGCTGGCAAGAGAAGAAAATGTCTGGCTGAGCTTGGTATCTCACACCTATAGTCCCAGCACTTTGGGAGGCCAAGGCAGGCGGATTGCTTAAGCCCAGGACTTTGAGACCTGTCTCGGCAACATGGCAAGACCCTGCCCCTACTAAAAAATACAAAATTAGCCAGGCGTGATAGTGCATGCCTGTAATCCCAGCTACTCAGGAGGCTGAGGTGGGAGGATCGCTTGAGCCCAGCAGACAGAGGTTGCAGTGAGCCAAGATCACTCTACTGCACTCTAGCCTGGGCAACAGAATAAGACCATGTCTCAAATAAAGAGAAAAAAGAAAATGTGAACTATTGCATGGGGTTCAAAGTGGCCTAGGAAGGAAGCAAGGTCAGAATAGGAGTGATGGGAGCAATTAATTGGGGAAATGGAGGGAAGGAACAGAGGATTGAAGGTCACTGTGAGGCTGAGAATAGGGATAATGGCATGAGGATGGGCGAGAGCTGATCGATGAAAAGTTGTCAGAAAATAGAAGGTCTGAGTCTACGACTGGGTAGCGACAGGTTGGGTGATGACAAGCTCTGAGACATTTCCATGGGGTGCAATTCTGAAGAGAGTGGAAAATAAAGGACACTGAGGTTGAGAATGTCAAGGAACCCAAGGCAAGACTGCCAAGGTATTCATTAAAACCTGCCAAGAGAATGGCAGAGGTTGGAGTGGAGAGGCTGGCAGGTCCCGCTGAATGAGGGGGAGCAGCCTAGAAGCTGATGGACAGACTTGTTGAGCACAGGTAGAGGCTGGGTGTGGTCATCTGGCACAGCATGTAAGGGAAGCAGGTGGAAAGTCATCAGGTGGAAGTGGTGACAGGAGCAGGAAGCATCAAGACACAGTTCCGTGGCCCTCAAGCACACGGGGAGTAAGAGAAAAAGTAGCTTCCACTCAAGAAGCTACTAAACAAGAAAGTCTTCCTGCCGGCCTCGGTGGCTCACGCTTGTAATCCCAGCACTCTGGGAGGCTGAAGAGGGCAAATCACCTGAAGTTGGGAATTTGAGACCAGCCTGACCAACATGGAGATACCCTATCTCTACTAAAAATACAAAATGAGCCAGGCGTGGTGGTGCAGGCCTGTAATCCCAGCTACTCAGGAGGCTGAGGCAGAAGAATCGCTTGAACCCAGGAGGTAGAGGTTGGGGTGAGCTGAGATCACACCATTGCACACCAGCCTGGGCAACAAGCGCAAAACTCTGTCTCTAAATAAATAAGTAAAAGAAGGTCTTCCCAAGCAAGACAACACGGTAGGGGGATGCTCTGTGAGGAGGCTGCACATGTACGGGAGTGTGTCTTCTTTGGAACAGGCTTCCCAAAGGGCATGGTGGAAACAGCTCTGGCTCAGCATGAAGGGGCCTCCTCTATGCTGGGTAATGGGGTGAAGCCCGGGCCTTTTGGGAGTGACAGAGCCTGAGCTTGGCACCCCCCAGCCCACCCAAGGCTGAAGGATCAGCCACCTCTCTCCCTGCACATGCCATAGGCACATCCCAACACCACTGAGACTGACGACAAGAGACTCGCAGACACACCTCAGTGTGCTGTCCACCCTCGTTCTCTGGTCCAGTCATACCCCAAAGCCCTGCTGCCGGAGCAAGGGGCGCTCTTACCTGGGGAAACATACACCCTAACCGGGGTCGAGGGATCGTGTGACCATGAATCCAGGATCCACACTGTCTGAATTTTGCACCATTAAGACCCAGCATCATCTTCACTGAGGCTCTGCATGGTCACAGTGAAGCCGAGAGCCTTCGGGCGGTCTCTAATGGACACGTGGCCATTCCTCTGCACGTTCTCTCCTCCCTTGGTCTCCACGATGCTCTCACATGACGTGTCATACTCTCCTCAGCACCAGTATTTTTTATGTTCCTTGTACGTGCTCTCATACCGACACCACACACTCAGAGAGCCCCCCTCCGTGCCGCCTGCAGAGCTGGGGCCCGTCAGAGACAAACAGCCTGGAAAACACAAGTTCAAGTCCCAGGTCTCCATCCCAATGTCCCCATCAGTAGCCTTCTGTTTGAAGCTGGAGGGGAAGGTTGCCAGGGAGACTTGGGTGTTTCCTGAAATGGGGACCTGGAGGAATACCCGAACTTAGGATATAAGCCAAATAGTCCCTGTAGGAGCAGAAGCCTGTCC